CATGGTATGCACTCACTGTTAAGTAGATATTAGTCCAAAGCTCACAGTACCCACGATACAACTCATTGACCACATGAAGCTCATGAAGAAGGAAGACCAAAGTGTGGGGGCTTTGGTCCTTCTTAGAAGGAGCAACAAAATACTCATTGGAGCAAAACTGGAGACAAAGTTTGGGTCAGAAACTGAAGCAGGAGTTGTCTAGAGATGGTTCTACTGGGTATCCATCCCATGTGCAGTCACGAAAGGAAGAAGATGATATAAATTCCAGGAAGTGCATGCTGACAGGAGACAGGAGTCTCCTTAGAGATCTGCCAGAGCCTGACATATACAGAGGTGATGTTCACAGCTACTCTTTGAACTGATCATGGGGTTCCCACTGGAAGAGTTAGAAGAAGACTGAAGGAGCTGAAAGGGTTTGCAGCCCCATGAGAAGAGCAACAATACCAACCAACCAGAGCTCCCAGGGTCTAAACCACCAGCCTGGGAGCACATAGGGAGGGACCCATGACTCTAGCTGTATATATAGGGGAAGATGCCCTTGTTAGGCATAGGTGGAGAGGAGGTCCTTGGTCCAGTGAAGGCTAGATGCCCTAGTGTGGAGGAATTCGAGGGCAGGAAGGTGGGAGTCAGTGGGTGGGACACATCCTCATAGAAGCAGGAGAAGGGCGGATGGGATAGGGGGTTTCTGGGTAGAGGCAAATGGGATAACATCTAAAATGTAAATGAAATATCCAACTGTGGGACTCTGTAAGGGTATCTTGGTTCTTGGCTGAGCATGAGCCTAGAACTCCAAGACTCCAAGGGAGAAATGGTAGGTGTTCGGCCATGTTCCCAGAACCCAGGGTCCTGACACACAGTCTAGTATCCATGGAGCTACATTGTTAAATCATGTAGGCCATTACAGCTCCCCCAAAGTGCACAGGTAGAGGAAGAGGTTACAGGCCTCAGGCCCTAGAGAGATCTACATACTAATGAAGGCCAGAGGGTAGAACCAATCAAGCATTCTTCAGGCCCCAGACTCTTCCCCCCTTTTCTCTCCCTATTTAACTCAGGTCTGCCCTGAGTTTCACAGGGATACATCCAGATCCATCTACCATCCGCCATGAAAATAAACCGTTTTGGAACCATGGACTTTCTCGTGTCTTTGGGGCCTGCCATGAGAAACTGCAGAGAAGGCCTTTAATGAGCCACTGTAGCTGCAGCTGCTGTGCCAAACTTCTCACCTAGAGGACCTTTCTGAGTTCCAGCCATGGGGACCACCTCTTCAAGGGCCACCAAATCTGCTAAGCCAAATCTCTCCCGCAAGGTGCTGCCAGGGTCTCTTTCTTTTCTCCCCCTATCTTTTCTCGGCTGTGGGTCAGCTGCGAGCCCACATGTCCCCAGTCTTGGTCCTTCTGTGGCCTCTCAGAGGTCTGAGAGCCCAAGGGCTTGAGACCAGTTGGTCCCCAGTCACCTCCTGGCCCAGGGATCCCCAATCCAACAGCTCTGTACCCCCGTGGAACTACCAGACTGACTGTGAACTCCCCACCAGGCAGGCCCCACTGCACTCGCATGGTGTTGGTCGGAGTAAACTCAGTCAAGATTCCCATGCTCCAGTCTCTTTGGAGCTGTGAGAATCACAACAACCCAACAAGATTCAAGAACCCATGCCTATGCCCACATGTGAGCTAATCATTTCCCGCATCCAATAAAAAATTAATTAAAAAAAAAAGCCCACATCCATAGTGACACAACTATTCCAACAAGGCCAGATACACTTGAACAGTGCTACATCTAATCACGCCAGTCCGTGGGCCGAGACAAATTGTAACATACTCCTACAGTTAGTCTCATTCATTTTGCTAAACTTGTACTAAAATACAATTTTTACTAGAGAACATTTTTTCAATGAAGATTTGAAATGGGAAAATACAGTAGGCTATTAAAAACTGCTGACATTTGGAACCATTGCTGTGGTACAAGCCCCTACTATGGGGAAGATTGTGTCCATGGGTTCAAACCCAGCCTAGGCAACCCTATTTCAACAAAATATAATTCAAAAAAAAAAAGACATTAGATGTCACAAGCCACACAAGCCAGACTTATGAGCAAAAAGCAAACAAGGACACTTCCTCTTGCATAAAAATAACATTTCTGACTGGAGCAGATGAGTGAGAACCCACCTTTCCTTCCTTTTTTTTCCCCTACAAATTATGCATTATTATGTCAACATAATATAGTAGAAAAGTCACATCAAATGATGGGAGAAGGATAGATCTAGGAAGAGGAAAAAACATGCAAACCAACTCAACTCTTTCACTTTGAACTCTCCTGTTTAAACTTTATCTTCAATGGAGCACAAAGTCAAGAATAAATCAGGGATAAAGATCCAGTTTCTCAACACCACTCCTTAACTTCCAAGAGTCTGTCTTGACAGGTCTTTTAGGTTTTCTGAGAAAAGATTACAGGAGGAAAGGTCCAGTCTACTCTCCTTCAACTTGCTTTGCTGATTTAAGAATCAGGGTTGCAGCAAAATATATAAAGATTTGGAAAAAGAAAACATAACAAAATGGAAAAAAATGTATTTTTCTAAAAGAGATCCAATGTTGGATACTAGAATAGTATATAGTTTCTGCAAGATTTTTGAAATATTTATTTCTTTTTTAATCAGTACAGTAGACTTTTGTAACTTTGAAGGACCAGAAAAAAGGACAGAAACTCAGGGAGGAAAGAACTACATTAATAAACAAAAGCTTAGCTATCAATAACATAATTTTTTTACATGAGTTTTAAATTTAAGGAAATTATAGCCAGAAATGTCAGTGTCTTTCACGACTTCAGAAAAACATTTACAAAAAAAAAAAAAAAACCTATATGAGAAAGAGAAAGGCTAAGATCACTCAGAAGAACAAAAGGCTGAGTCAGTGGGGATACCAGGTCACACATACAGTTTTATTATAGAGGAATCTGAAATAACTGTGGTAAATCTTCAGGAGGAAGTGTAAATGGTGAATGTGTAGGTGTTTGTTATCCTTCATCTCACTGCATTATTAACATGTACCAGCTACAGAAAATGGCCCTTTCTGAACAGATCATAGAGTAAAGACAAGAAGCTGCTATTATCAGAAATGCCTTCTGGAGGCAACACTGTGCTTTGTTAAATGTTGAGTAAATCTTATTATGAAATTTGCCTGATATTATATTATTGAACAAGATGTTGCTTAGTCTGGTTGTAAGGCAAGTTTCTACAAGCAGAAAAATGACAACAGAAACACAAAAGTATACTTTAATCTCTTACAAAAATCTAACCAACACATAATCATTAACAATAGGAGTATTTTTAACAAAACAGTACAATATTTTTATTTTCTCCTGTCAACAAACTATAGTCATTGATCCACCAAAGGCCAAAATGTAATAACAACAATGTACGTTTTACACCGTTATAAGAACTGCATCAGAAGAAGAATATGTATTTAAAAAGTTTGATGTTAGCTTATAGGCAAAAAGTTTGAAATGCCATTTTGTATCTGCATATCTGAAGAAAATATAGGAAAAACAACTTAAGTTGAAGAGAATTTCAATGAGAACCTGACCTGAAAGTGACCTGAAGGCTCACTCCCTGAATACATGATTTCATGGTACCAGATGCTATGGAGGGGCTCTGAGGCCTCTGAATTACAATGACCAGCCTTGCATAATAACCCTAGGTAGGGATCTAGCAGTAGCATACATACCCTCTCTAATTGGATGTAATGGCAGCTAAACAAGACAGAAGCCATGCCTACTACTGAAAACCTAGCCAAATACTCAGGGCTAGCAAAATCATGGATCTTGGAAGACAACCTACAACTACTACTTAAGTAAACCAGCATAATCCCTAATTATACTCTTAATATTTGTCCTTATACCCATAGGCAAGTGTAGTTCATACCACTCACAGAAGAAACTTCTTTAAAATGGACAAAGACCATAACAGAAAATCGCAAACAAACAAAATGCAGGATTGTAGAGTCTAGTCCTGATAAATATATCTACAACACAAGTCCTGCACTAATGTTCCTAGATCATTTCAGATGACAGGCAATAAATATTTTGCAGTACACTGAAGGTTGGTTTGGTTTTTCTTACACTTGTATTTTTTGCCTGGGTACACAGAGATAATCGGTATGTATTTGTGTTAAATAGCTGATAATAGCAATGAGTTACAGATATGACACTGCATGAGGACAGGCATCAAGAAGTAGTTTGTTTGAATATAAATGGTTTCATTTTTATAAGAATGGCTTTATTACTATATGTTGAGCCAGAGGAACAGAAAGTTTATGGTAAGAATGTGTCTCCTAGAAATGTAAGAGAAACTAAACTCACAATGTCTCACCAACAAGGCTGCTTAAACATGACCGAACAAGGGTGATACCAACAGACATGCTAACATGGGAGGGAGAAAATTCACAATGCTTCAACCCTAGACAAAGATCTATAAACAAATAATGATTACTCATCCTACAATAGTCTCCAGGGAAGAGAACACAAGTTGATTATCCAATACCAATGGTCATCCCTGAAAACACACATACCAGTAACATTAAAGGGATTGAACAGATAGGTATACATATTTAAGATTTAAACACACACACACACACACACACACCACCACCACCACCACCACCACCACCATCAGTACCACCACCAACTACAAAGAAAAACAGGCCAAGAATCTAAAAGAGAGCAAAGGGCAGAAGACAAATGAGAGAACTTAGAGGGGTAGAAGACAAAGGTAACTAATATAATCATATTCTCAAATAAAAATTATAATGAAAAAAAATTTATGTATGAGTGAGATGGGTTCAGAGCTTTAACTCTAACACACAGTTTATAACTTAAAAGTTGAGTACAAGTATATTTGAAGTTGATTACTAGATTCTAAATAATATCCACAAACATAATTATATGAACAAAATATACAACTGAAAAGAACATATAAAGAAATCAGCATGGATCTTTTTAGTAAACATCACCTTTAGGGATTTTGCCACTTGGACATGATTATCATAAACGACAATGTCTACCACCAGATTCTGTAGCCGCAGAATGTGACTTAAGTCACCTTCAAAAGCAATGTCTTGTATGCACACTCTCCAAGAGGGAATCTTCATCCTGGTGCCATCCCATACCTGCCATAGAGTGATAAAACAAAGCTTAAAATCTTTAGGCAAAAACAGAAATAAGTTTTAAAATGAATAAATGTACACTGGTATCTTTAATACTTTAAACCTTGAAGTCCATCATTCTGTGGTTGTGAAATAACTAAATATATACTGTTGCTTATGTAAAAAATGTAGAAAGAGATGAAGATAGACAAAACAAAATACTGTATGATACCAAGCAAAATATTAACCTGGAGTAGACTGACAAGTTTTCTATTCTGTGTTCAAACATATCCTTCTACCACACAACCACACTCGACTCCACATATGTATGACTTGAGGTTACTACCAAAAATTAAGATATGAAACCAAGTTAAAACACTAAAGCCATGAGACTGCATCTATTTCAAACTGAATAACAAGAAAACAGAACATGACCGACAAGACAAAAAATGGACAGATGTTATATTTAAAGATGACTGAACACTAGAGAGGTGACTCAGTAGTTGACAATGCATTCTCTTCTTTTGGAAGCCATAAGTTTGGTTTCTACCACATGTCAAGCATCTAACTGCCTGTAACTTGACCAGTAGGGGATTACACACACTCTTCTGGTTTCTCCAGGCACCTGCATAAATGTGGCCATTCCCATGTACATACATGTAGTTAAAAAAGAATAATTTTTAAACCATTAGTAAACGTGTTCTTCTGATTTACTTTAACTGTCAACTTGACATAGCCCAGATTCATCTGAGAAGAGAGCCTCAGTCTGATCTATCAGACTGCTCCATGTCCCTATCTGTGGCGAATACTATCTGCAGCAGGGTTTTGATTGTTGATGGACAAAAGAAGGGCAAGTTAACGCTGGGCAACATCATGTTTAGGCAGGCATTCCTGAACTAAGAAAGCTGGCTGAGAACAAGCCAGTCTTTAAGCCAACAAGCAGGTAATAGCAGTCTTCATGTTTTCTGCTGTATTTCCTTAGTTGTATATAAATTCTCCTTTAAAATTTAGAGGTAATTCAGTGCGGAATAGCAAGCTTGAAGATCCTGCTTCAGTATCTGCCCTGACTTCCCTCAGGATTGTGATCTAGAAGTTTAAACCAGATGAACCCTTCTGTCCCCTAGATTGCATATGATCAGTGTCTTTTAACAGAAATGATACTAGAAGACATGGCTGCTTAGAAAAACTGAAATGGATACATCACGACAACTAAAGGAGTGGGCAAAGTTAGTACTGTACTAAGGTTGGAAAAAGGAAACATTATTTTGCATACTAACCAAGTATAATTTAGAAAGAATAATGTCTGCATTTCTCTTCTTGTAATATTTAATTAAAAAATCATGTCTGGGGTCAGGAGTATTAGCACACACCTTAATTCCTAGACCAGGGAGAGAGATGTAGGCAGTTCTTGGTAAGTTTGAAGCCAGCAAAGTCTACACAGTGATTTCCAGGAATTTTATCCAGTGATTTCTATTTTTCAGTGTTCCTTTAAAATGTTCCAGCAGTAAGTCATGAGTTTTGTCTAAGCACCACGATACTCCATTACTTCTTTGATTATTACAGATGACAGATAATTAAGCATAGGATCTCGCTCAATGTGGTGCTGCTTAAAACATCCTCTATAGTACAGCCAAACAAGGAATATGATTTATTAACTACTTTCTGAAGGACACTCATGAGCAATTATGTTACTGTTTTCCGAGTGATTTTAAAAAATGACAAGAAATAGCTCAGTGTTTTATGCTTCTCCATGAGCTAGGCAGTGGCTCATAGCTGACTTTCATAAAGCAGCAGAAATACACAGGAGTTTCACTAAAGAGAATTATGTGCATTTTATTATTAAAATAAGAAATACATTCAGCATATCACAAAGTTTGTAAAATACATATCTTACAACACTGTTTTCTCTGGAGGAAAAGAAGAGAAAACGTAGTAGAGCTGCATGAATAGGGGGCTTCTCAAAAACAGTATGGAGAATTTTAACTGTGTATATAACAGTTTGGAAACGCTCTAGTGGAGTGCTGCAGGCTCCTTATTAACAGATAGGTGGCACTAAGGTATAGTTTCAAGTATTTAAAATATACCTTTAGGAGAAATGACACTCCATCCACTTCTGCTTTTCCCAGGAGCTGACAAGTCAGGTCATAATACTGCATGGGTTGAGTATCACAAAGCTGCTGTAAGTTGGAAGAAGTTGAAATGTGTGTGGATGCCCAAGTCCGCAAGGCTTCTATCATATTGTGGTCCTGAGCAGTGAAGGTAAAGCTCTTGCTTAAAGTACGAGGTATGACAGGAGCCCCTAAGGTGCCATCAAATGTCAAAGATGTAAAACCAAACTTGCTGATTCCCTGAAGCTCGTTTTTATATGCTTGGATCTAAGAATGTGAGAAAAAGTAGAAATCAAAAAAATATACAAAATTCAGAAACCAAAACCTTCAGATGTTAAGGTTTTTTGAGTGTGAAAAGCAGAGGGAATCCTTATTATTCCTGACTGAATTAACTCAGGAAACAATACAACCAACTGATACTGTATCAGGGTATACAATGAGCAAATTTTAATACACTAAAATTTACTTTTTAAACAGGAGGTAATAGTTACCCTGATTCTAACAAACTTGCATTCTTACATTTATGTGTTTAATTTATTAAAGTATGATTTTAACTAAAGTATGTTATGACAGTTATTTATGTGGTATAGTGAAATCTAGAATCCACAAATGTGTAAAGTAAGCACATTAAGTAGAGGCTAACTCATCCTTGACTGAGCATGCTGGACCCATGTCCAAACAACTTTTGCTGAGTTGAGTCCTAAGGCTCCTTTATTAAATGTACAATTATAAAATATGTGGTGTTAGTTATTTTTTCCATGAACTAGTTCTTGTTCAAATAAAATGCTCCCTTTTTCTTCACAAATCTCTGGTAGTGCTTCCTGTCTGATAATAAGATATTATTTCATTTTCTTGTGGCTTGCTAATTTATTTCCCATCATTTTAGTTCTAATTTGTGTCTTCATATTCAAAGTACTCTTTGTAGGCAGCATATAATTCTTGCCTTTTATTTTTATGCTTTTTTGGTAGTCAGGACACATTCACTATAAAAACATCATTGGTACAAGAGCTCTGCCCAGAGCAATCTCCCTTATATCCTTGACTCTGCTTTTTAACAACTGTTTCCTATTGTCCCTTTGTTCTTTCTTCCTTTGGAATTCTTAAAGTTTCATTTACTTCTTTGGGTAAAAATGGCTCCTGTGTCTCAGTTGGCACTGAAGCATTGTATTTTTTTTTTTTTACCAGAAAGTTCCTGCTTTCTAACCCCCTGCCCTTTGCACACTCTACTATACAATAGCACTTTCTGCCCCATCATCTTACATGATTGTTCATGTTTAAAATAATAATTTATCTTAGTGAAATTACTAGAATATATATGTATATCTTCCTTCATATTTATTCACTCTCAAATAGTTTGTTAACCCTAAACAACTTTCTAGTTGAAAAGCCTCCATGTTACTGGAGAATATTTTAAGACATAAAAATAGAGGTAAATTAATTATCAAAAGTCATTGCTACTGTTCTCCATATAGAATATGGTTCCCCAATGCTTTGACTTTTTAAGTCTGGATATATGTACGCATGTGGATCCATGTGTGCCATATGTGTGTGGGTGTGTGCACATGCACGCTCTCTCACCTGTGTCCCCCCATTCACCTCTTTTCTCTGGGTATCTTAAATTACAGATTATATTACTAGATATTGTCCCAAAAGTCCATTGTGGTCTGTTTGTTTTTATTTAGTACTTGTTCTTCATACCTGGTAATGTCTTTGAGTTTATTTTCAATGTCTAATCCTCATTAACCAATCCAGTATACTTTTCATTTGCTGTTCCTGTTACATATTGAATTTCTACTTGCTTCTTTTATAGATTATATTTCTAATTTTCTATTAGTTTCTTTTTATTCATTTAACTATTTTTTTAAATTTGCTGAAAGTACTTTGCTAAATCTTTAAGAAAAAATTACAATATCTACTAGAAAGTTATTGTTTAATAGATTCATATCTAGGCCCCTATGAAATCTGTTTGCAAAGTCCATTTGCTTTTAAAAACTATCTTCTTCTAAGCTCTTCTATTCATGTTTAATAATTTTTTTCCTTCTTGATTAGTCACTGTAGTATTTCACTGTAATGGTTCTGAATTATGTTACCTTCCCATGATGTGCAGAGTTTTGTTCATTTTGGTAAGTCACCAACTGAGCTCCTTAAATGAACAAAAACTTAAATTACACTTTCTTAGGGTGAATTGGTATGACACTCAAGGATTTCACAAAGCCCTTTCTTTCCAGTGACACTGACCCTGCAAATAGCCTACTTTATGGAACCTGTAGGTTTTGACAGATGTATAGGAGAAGTATTCCTACAAGAAAAAGGGCTCCCATAGTAGTAATGCTTGTGGCTGCTATGAAACATGGCCCTAGGTGTTGGAACTAGGTATCTACCACCTCTAGTTCTATTCGTTTTTTCTCTGCCTCCTGCCCCGGCAGCCATGTGAAGAATAATGCCAACAACATCTCTACCATGAGACTGAGCCAAACTGAACTTTTCTTTTTATAAGTTGCATTTGATAATGATTTGTCACAAAATTAAAAAAAAATAGTAATTGTTAATGACATGTAAAGTTATTTTAGCCTCACTAAGCTGGCTCTGCAAAAACCCAACTCTTGCATCTCTCCAGTTCCCTTGTTTTACAATCCTTGAATGATCTTGCCCTGCCTGTACAACATAGCTTTCAAGCAAGTACTTATGGGTAAAAACAGACTTCTGGCACACTTTGTATAGCCTTTTCTCTTTAGTGCCTTGTCCTGAAGAATCATGTCTTTTAGCTGAAGTGTATTTTAATCTTCCCCTCCTCAGCTTATCAGAACTACACAACTCACGTTTCAGGTGTCTGAAGTCATCCAGAGCAACAGTAAGACCCAAACTTAAATAAAATAAAATAGAGACAAAAATCTATGCTTTCATCCTTGACAAATTCTATGTGGAAACTTGATACAATCAATTAAATTTGGAAGTGAGAGGACAAACTGGAACCCATCACAGTTTCTGAAGCATGTCTTGGGAAAGAGAGTAGATGATTCATTTAAATAACTGATGCCTAATACCATTTACATTTGTCTCCTGGAATGTTTAATGTCTCTCTATAACAAGGCATATAATTACTACGAGCAGACTTCTTCAGTAAATGATTACTATAGAATGTACAAAGCACACCTTCAGCCCACGGATGCAAATAATGTCTCCAACTTTATAAATGCTGGGAAGGGCATTGTAGTTTCTACTAAAGAGCATGCACGTTAACGTCACATTTGTCTGGTCCACAATTGTTACAACAGAACAATAATCTGGGGAAAAAAATTTAACACAAATTAAGGTAATTGAAAGTGCTTATAAAATAAGAATATGCTTACTTAAGAATGTCAATGAAATATTACTCTTCCCTATTATTTTCTTTTAATAAAAAGATACAACAAACTGTAAAAATCAACCTTAAAATATAAAAGGAAATAAATATAAACATTCTACACTGATTTTCTGGAGAAGTAATAACTTTTTTAATCACTTTAAAATCAAGAAGGTAAAAAGAAATCCATCCTCATCAAATAACTCCTAAAATAAATCAGTATAGATATTTTTAAATGAATGAATAACAGTCAATAAGGAAAACAAAGCAATTAAGTTCTAAAGAAATAATATTTTCCATAGTAAAATAAGATCTGATCTAAAACATTCTCTTTCTGAAAATACTGACAGCTAGATGTAGTGTACCTATGATGTCATTGCTAACATCCACCTGTCAGCTGTCAGGAAATCAAAGGCACAGGCCTAGCAGGAAGGAAAGGCAGGATTGAGACCCTACCTCTCAACACCCTTACCCAGAATCTGGGCTTCAGAATTTACAGGTGAAGCCTAAGAAAGGAAATTGCATCTAGGATATTTATACAATGGGAGGAGAAAGTGAAGGTAACCATAAATCTGACAAGATGGCCAGGGCCAAATTCCATCTCCTAAAACAGGAAATTAGCAGGAGACAGTCCAGTAGTTTTATAATGAATGAGAAAAAAATTAATAGGCCCATTTCTGGAGGAATAATACCAATACAGTCAGAGAAATTCAAAACAATTTGATTTCCCTTGTTTTTTACTTTGTTCAATACTTTGTAATGGTGTACAGATTCTGAAGTTTGAAGGAAGAATAAAGGGATGTTGACACTTAAAACTTATCAAAGAAAAAAATGCACTGGAACATATATCCTCCTCTGAAGAACATTGAAAAATTAAAGAAATCAGGGTAGGGAATGTTTCAGTTGGGGATCTATTGCTGTGATGCAACACCATGGCCAAAAGCAATTTGGGGAAGAGTTTATTTCACCACATAGCTTCCAGTCTCACTGATGGAAGTCAGGGGAGGAACTGGGGGGAGAAGATGATGCAAAGGCTGAGGAGATGGTCAGCAGGTGAAGTGTTTCATCACACAAAAATACTCTTTCAGGGCTAGAGAAATTGCTCAGAGGTTAAGAACACTCACTGACTGTTCTTCCAAAGGTCCTGAGTTCAATTAACAGCAACCACATGGTGGCTCACAACCATCTATAATAGTATCTGATGCCCTCTTCTAGTGTGTCTAAAGACATGGATGTATTCACATAAAATAAATAAATAGATCTTTTAAAAAAATACTCTTTTACTTCCTTTCCCAGCACAGCTTATCATCTTAAGATAGTCTATACAGTGTATCCATTAATGCACGCTATAGTTACCTGGTTTTTTTCTATTTTTCATTTTTGTGCCAGACTTGAGAGTGACTGATGTGTGACTGTTACAGTACTGGAATGTTCAGTATTTTGTAATATTCACCTTCATACATAAACTTTATACTTATGTTTTCATGTCACTTAACACCTTTCCAAAAATTTTATTTGTATTTTGTTGAACAAAACTCATAAATCCAACAACTACATTCACATCATAAATTAAAATAACCAAAGACCTCACATTGGTATTGCTTGGCATCTGAAAATTAGGAATGAAATTGTTCTGAGACCCAGTTCACAAAGGTAGTTGTGATCCTGTGTTCAGCAATGAAGTTCTTGTCCATAAAACAACTTCCATCTCAATACTTACCTGTTCCTTTGCTTAAGTACGGAGGCTTAAAGAACTTCACAACACCACAGACATTGACAAAAGTGCCTTTCTTAAGTAGATTTAGGGATGTGTATATATAAGGTGCTACTGAGGCCTAAAGAAAGAAAGAATAGCTAATTTAGCAGGCACTTTACATTTTTCAATATTATGATAACACCTGTAAATTACCAAGCTTGAACTATTTCACTTTAACATTTTTATTCTGAAGAAAATGACTTCATGGGGAAAGGGGTAGTGACAGTAGATAACAATGTACAACTTCAGATAATTATACTATTGACATCAACTAGTTTTCTTGAAACAATTCTGTTCATCTACTGAAATCAATACATCAGCCTATAACAGCTTAAATACCAATTATATTTCTTTAACAATAAAGTATTAAAAAAATCCATTAAAATTAAGAAGCTAGCATACAAGTGGAAGTAAAATTGGAAGGAAATTCTTTCAACTATGTGTGTCATCAATGTTACAGATCTAGAGAATCTTCCTGATGGAGATGAGTAAGTGTGAGAACATCTCTAGAAGCCCAGAGGGGTGACCAGAGCTCTGTGCTCTCAAGGACCCATCAATTATGATGGAGCTCAGCAAAAGAAACAGAAAGAAAGATCTGCGCCTAAGCTCTGAAAATTGATCCAGTGTTCTAACTTAACAAATATGTCCCTGATACTGTGATGGGAGAGCTAACAGAGCTTAGGGATATAAACCACTGTCTACCTAACTGCTTACTCAAATTTGCAAACAAATAAATAACAAAAACATTTTTGAATCATTAATTTGTCATTCCATGAAAATTAGTCACTACCCATTTAATAGGTAAGTTACTATTTTCAACATAAATTAATACATTGATTTTTATATATACTCAAAAGTTAGGTTAATGTACTCTTCAATAAAAATTATCTATAAACATTATATATAAATTCACTCAATAATCCTAAGTAATCAAGTAGTCTATTTGTTTTCCATGATGACAGTTCAATGTGATGTCCGTAAGAGTAGTCTCTATAGAGGGTAGGAGGCACTGAAACCATTTTGAATTTAAGAGACAAACATTTTTAGGGAAGAATTAACAGGGCTGGAAAAGGGGAATGATAAGCGAATGTGGTAAAATGGAAACAAAACCAAATCCACAAAGCAAAGAGTACTTAAAAGCACTTGGACATAACTTTACATCAGGGATCTGTATCCTTGATTGAGGTGATGCAATAAGCTGTGTCTCGTATCTATAACAAAAGGCATATACTTTTTATAGCAGCCTACTATGTCCTAGGCTGATAACATAACCTCATATTCTATTCTATGACAGTGCTTACTAAGGCATTTTATTGCTTTATGACTAGTAGTAAAAGAAAAAGAAAATTACTGTCCAGTAGAACCTTGCAAATACAGAATTTAAATATGACCAGTGTAGCTATGAAATAAGATTTTGTTTTCTGGTTTGAGGCAGAGTCTCCTTGAGAGACCCAGTATGTGATTCTACTGCCTCATTCTCTTGAGTACTGGCATGCTATGACCACAGCATGTGCCAGCACAGTTAAGCTACGGGTTTTTTTGTTTTGTTGTTTTCAAATAATTGTCACACATGCATTAGATCACTAGAGGTCTACGAAATCATTTTTAGATACACTAAAACATATTCATGAGAAAGCTATAGGCTTTTTATTATAAAGTATGATAATACACTAAAGATAATCTGATAACATCTTCAAAACCCACTCAGTATATGCATCCCCTATCTATATTTTGCAAAGACATTAAAGACTTTTATTATGTCTTGAACACTTAAGGCAAAGCTTGTTATAGAGTGAGGACATATGTATACAAGGACTAAGGACTAAAGAGGTAGCCAAGAGACAGTGTTGACTGTCATTTGCAAGAGCCTAGGTTTAATGCCCAGAACCAACTAAACAATACAACCACCACAACAAGACCTCACAATTAAACAAAAACTCCAGCAGTAAACAATATATTCAGTGAAATATAATTTACAGGAGTGTATAAAAAGCAAGAGAATATATGCTTAAAATAAGAAAATCCATCTTGCAGGGCTGAGGAGATGGTCAGCGGGTAAAGCAATAGCCATAAATGTCTGAGAATAAAGTATCAGGGTCAATGCTAGGTGGATTTGCAGCTCCCTTGCACTTACAATACTCTGGAAACAGAGACAGATGAACCTGAGAGCAAGCTGACTAGCTGAACTAGAATTAGCAAGCTCTCAGTTTGATGAGACAGCATGCAACTGAATATATGCTGGAGAGAGAGACAGGAAGACACCTGACCATTAGTTGTTGGCATCTACATGTACTTCCCATCTACACACAGTGGTTAAAGATCTCTTACTTGCAGAGGACCAAAGTTTGGTTTCTAGCACCCATACTAAGTGGCTCAAAAAACATCTATAACTTTAGTTTCAGGAGATCCAATGCCTTCTGGCCTCCCTCTGTGGATACCTGTACAAAAGTGGTACACAAAAACTGAAGCAGCCATACACACATACACAGAAATACAAATAAATGAATAATAAATGTAGGCACTATTGTATTAACTTTATCAACACATTGCTTTCTTTTCAGGTTCACTCAGTTGTGAGTAGGGAAGTTTTCTGTCTACTGCATTAAACACCAAAATTTTATATATATTAAAAAAATGTTCCTAAAAGAAAGTACCACAAGTATAAAGAGTTTTAAGAACATAATCTTAAACCACAATTCAGTGCATAAAAACTGATTGTAATACAAGCTAACAAAAACTGAAGAAATAAATTTGCCTGTGGTTTAAACTAATAAAAACTGCAATATCTTCATAAAGACATTTTTCTTCCATTTTCTTGTGTCTGTAGAGATTATGAGGAGATACTATAGATAATGAAGATAAAAAAACAATCAAATATTAGGTAAATATATAATCATAATACAACATCATCTTATAAAACAGTAAAAATATCAGCATTATATTTTACTGTCACTATAGAAAAATTCAAATAAAAAGTAGGCTAATTTGAAATCAAACTATAAAGTAGGTCAGATCAAGTTATAAATCAGGTGGGCTTATGTCACTGTATATCCTAAATGAAATTAAATTCACCTTACCGAAGACATTACTTTGTAGAAAATCCCTTTACAGATTTACCAAAACCCTGAAAACAAAACAGAAAAAAGTTTATTTGTATGCATGTTACCTCCAAATACTTTGAATTATAGTCAACTATGCATTTACCAATACCCAAATTCCCTATGATAGCTCCTACAACTGCACCCCCCTCCTGCTTTTACTCAGCTGCCTAGGCCTTTTCCGCAACTCAAACATACACATAATTTAAATAGTTCCAATTGGTAGAAAATTGGTGTTGATACACATCTTTTTCACTTACATGGAACCACACCAGACTTTCCCCAAGTAGCAATCATTTTATCTATAAATTTGACCATCTTCACCATAATTCATTATGTTTTAATATCAAAAAAGGCCACTGCAAGATATATAAGGTCCTTGGTGATATTAAAACCATCAAGTTGATCTAGGGGCTCAACTAAGTCTTATCAAAGCCTTTACCAAAGAAGCAGTTTGCAAGTTTGGTAGGGAAGAAAGTAAAAAGGAAGAAGGAAATGCATTCACAAAGAATGGTAAGAGAAAAATACATTTTTCCCTAAAACAACCAATTCATTATTTAAAATGAACTATAGTTCATCTCAAAGTACCTAGAAGTAGAAATAACTGCAATCAGTAACACGAGGTCTGCATGTCTACCTATGCACGTATAAGCCTCATTAACAAATATGATAGAAAAATATTTCAGACAAAAAGCCTCATATAGGATGGCAGCTGCACGAACACTTGGCACCTTAGATTTTTAAGCACATTCTACAAGGTTCACTCAGTGCCCATATCACACACAATGCATTTTTGTAAATAATAGATCATGACTGCAAGTTTAAAAGACTCTCATTTATACATGGAGGCATTCGCAAAGCAGAAATTCAGTTGTTGTGGTTATTGTTGTTGTTGTTTGGGTTGTTTCCTTGTTTGTTTAATTTAAAGCATTCAACTGTTTTATATATTCTTCTGTTCTAATATATTCTGCTTTGTACATCAAACAGAGAGCATTTAAGGAACACCAGATACAGAGGGTTTTGTTTGGGGTTCCCTAACCTACTTAGAGAAAAGATAGGCCAAAGACAGCAGCCTACATTTATCCCCTAATAGTAACTTCATTAAACAAGATCAGACTCATAGCACAGAGGAAGAAACTAACAGCCCAACATTACATCCAAGCACATAGAAACTTTGTGTTATCTACCCCTTAGATGAATTTTCTTATCTAGTTGTTTGTTTTATTCGCTATGGACAATTTTAATGGGGTAGCAAATAATTCTGAAGGAGGGAAGAGGGTATTCAAGCCTCAAACTGTATATCTTCTTTTATTGTGTCATTTTTACAGCTCCTGTACACTGTTAACACTTTTATTTGCTGCTAATCTGTCTACTGTTGGTTTATTTTGACAAATTCAATTCACTGAAAACAATTCCAATTCTATATGCAATTCAAATAACCCAGAGAATGAGCATTTTACCCACAGACTTACAGAAACAGTATTCTATCCAACTACACTGCCCCATTAAAACTAAAACATGACACAATAATAAAGGTGCACAATTACATAAAGTTAGTTTAAAACCTTTAAATGCCATCAAAACTACACAATGCTTATTACGTCTACTTTCTACTGACAAGACTACAAATCCAGATACTTCAATGATGCTCCACATGGGAAAGTTATTTTTCATCAATCAGAAGTATGTATAATGAACATCATAGGTTGCATATTCATTTTTAAAATAAATAGTATGCATGTCTATAAACTAGAGCCTGGATCATCTAAGCTTATTTAATACTTACTGAATACATGATTCAGGCTACAACCTTCTTAAAGAGTCTCCATCACCTACTGAGATAGTATAGCTGCTATAGTGTAATGCCCCTTCCATGATCAAAAAAGCACTCACAGTATTTCTTGGACAATTGTATTTAGTGCGACTTCAAAAATCATTGCCTCCACTTACATAAATGAGATACATGAGTGAATGCATATGACAAGGCAACAGATGACATCATAATAGTAAAAACAATAACTTAAAACTACATCTAGAATAGATAGTACACTTCATTAGTAGTGCGAAATCTCTAATATATGTGTCAGTATCCAACACATCAGACCTAAGTATTGATCCAAGATATCTACATAAGAACTCAGTAGTTTTACACCAGGAGAAGCAGAGTCACCTTCCACCTTTGTTTTTAGCTATACTAAAGTCATTCTCCTTTAATTTTCTTTCATCTTTTAATTCTTGTCTTCTATGAAGTTAAACACTCAGGCTTTTATCTGTTGAATTATATTATTGACCTTTTTATCTAATTTTAGCATCAAATTCTTAAGATATATATAAATTCCTGGGCTTCAGTCCAGTTCTGCTTTTTATATGTACCATGTAGAAGTTTTCTGTGTACTGGGCCAGTTGACCACTTCCAGAACTGACTATTCACTATGGTTAGTATTTTCTCACACAAAGCGGCATCTCATCCTTCTGCACCTAAATTGTGTCTGCTGGTGATAAAGGCTTTCAGGTGAAGGTGGCAGACTAAGTTACATCTGCACTGTCTGACATGTAATCTTATAAAATTCAAAGAAAAGTAGATTAGTCTGTGGATTATGTATGAGGACATTCATTATCCTTGGGAGCCCATAACTTGAAAAGTTATCTTTATAATAACTTTTCTGGAATAGATACTAATTACAAGCTTGTGTTTCCTTTGTAAAAATTCTCATGGTGACTTGATCATTTCCTCGTAGTCAAAGTTTGCCTATCTGATAAGATTCAATTCAAAATAAACTTGGATGGCCAGAAATACCAGTGTTTGTCCTACGTTATACTATACTCATTTGTACTTCTTGATCTCTTAATTAATGAATGATTTCTCCGAGATCAAATAGTTGAAGTTCACAACTATACCTTCTATTTATCTGCTTTCTCAACCTGCCTGAACTTTACAATCTATTTAATAGTCATTTACCTAATCTAACTGCTAGAAATCCCAAAACAGCGACAAGTTTCAATTTTCTACCAATCAATCTTCCTTGATGGATATCACAGGTATATTAGATTTCCTCACAAAATTTATCTTAAATATGTCTTTATAGTCCATAATTTTAATCTGATGTTTAACAAGACTATATTTGCATCTTACAGTATTATTTATACTTATTTATTTCATTTCTCCTCTCCTTTATGGTGCAAACTCCAAGAAGCAATAATTAAGTCTGGCTCACCACTGCTTCCCTAGTACTAATACAATTCTCTATTCTACTGCTGGTTATAACAGCTGTGGTTAATATTCTGATTCCCACTCACTGTTCCAGACCACCTAAACCAATTATAAGCCATAAATGAAATGGACTAATAGTATCTAAATGCCCAACATACTCAAATAATCCTTGCTTGACAGGATTATTTGAGCACCAATAAAGAGAGAATTCTTTCTTCATGAGGACATGTATGTAAAAAGTTATATAATGAAGGTAAACTTTTAACAAAGTTACTAAGATGATTAAGTCATGTTAATTAAAGTACAAACAGTTAGCTACTCTGACAGCCTGGATGTGAGAGGAAAGAAGGACTCTAGCACACCAGAGCATGGGAAACACAAGTTCAGACATGGCAAAAAGGTCAGCAAATGGTTTTGGCTTTTCCCCTACTCTCCCACTCCATGTACCTTGCTAAACTGTTAGATTACATTCCAGAAGCTAGTCACCATGGACTATTCCCATATTTGGCCACTTCCTCCCCCTGAGGCTCTCTACTGATTCCCAGCTACCAAAGTGTTGGAAGACTAGCAATTAAAAGCCCATTTTTTGGCTACCCTAATTAACCTAACAAATGACCTCATCTTAACAGAAAGTTCCCCTTTTACTTTTATAAACTGACATTTACAAAGAGGCTACATCAGTCTCCTCCCTATCCAGTGGCAGTCCCTTTGTCCCTTGGGACAACTTTCCCTTCCTACCTTCCCCCTTGTATCTTTTCTCTTATCCTTTGTCCTCTATTCCCCATCTTTTGTCTCTTATTACCTGCCCTTTGTCCCTCTGGTGCAAATAAACCTTTGTGTTGCGAACTTGGTCTTTGGGTATTATCATGCGCCAACTTTGAGATCCTTTCAAAATGTTTCTTGCCTATTAAGTAAAAGAGGAGGTCAGGGAAGACACTACAGCAAAGCTTTGGCAATGAAAAAGCAGCTTTTCCTTATATAGGCATTGTCTACTCTACAACAAATGAATTTATTAAAATGAATCTATTAAAATCACTCATATATGTGGGTGTCGCTGTAAAATATACATATAAAAAGTTACCTATTTCTACAGAACAAGTAACAAGCTATGCAGAAATGTAGCACACATTCACCTAATACTTTATTAAGGTCTATCTTCAAAACAGCTGCTTTATTTCTAAATATTAAAGAAATAACTGGGAGTTTTCCCTAAAGTGGAGATTAAAAATAGTAAAGATGGAGACACACACACACACACACACTTACATACACTTCATGCAAAAGTTTGAACAGAACTGAAAGCACTGAAATGTTTTATCTTTTGAGAAAATTTTCAGAATAGTACTGGAGTAGCATCAACCCTAACAAAATACATAAGCCACCAACCCTAACAAAATACATAAGCCACTTGGAGGTTCTGAGAAAGGATTCTCACATATGACTGACTACCTGAGAATTACTGTCCCAAAGGTCTCTGCTATAGCCTCACCCCTGCATAAAATCCACTGCACACACACACACACACACACACACACACACACACACACACGCACAGAGAGAAATATAATCTCTTATCTGTGCAAGCCTGTACTGATGATACAGTTGCTGGTAATATCTATGGCTGAGGATTATGGCCATCTTCAGCAAGCATGCTCATTTGCCTTTAAAAACTTGCACTGCCACAGTACTCTTTAATATACTCATACTATACTATGGGCTGTGTCAGATTATGAGGCTATTCTATTCCCTTTATTAATCTTTAGAGAACCTTTCTCTAAATTTCACTTGGACCATACTTTTAGGAATTCAATATACCATGTTCTAGTAAATATTAAGTCATCTGAGAAAAATCTGAGGAATAAAAATAAGTAGGAGTCATAACTTGATTTAAGCCTTATTAAAGATACAGAAAAATGTGAAGTTCACTAATTTTCCAAGCCTTTTTTCATCCTGTAATACAATCTCTCAGTAAATCAAAGATTGCTTTTAGAAACAAATTGCAATTTAAGAAATAAAAATTCTAAATGTGAAATGAAAAACTCATAAATTAGGACAATAAGGTCAATACAGAACAAAAAGCACAATTAGTCTCTGCTCCAGTTTGTCCACTTCAGGAAGGAATTCTCTTGTCAAATGTATAAACACAATAGAGTGTTTTATCAATAGAGTGTTTGGCTCTCATATTAAAACTTTCTCCCTCACACATACCATGGACTCTTTGTAAACAATCATATGAATGTGTTTTATTTATTAAAAAAAACTCATTGAAAGTAGATCTTATATTCATACTCTTCTATATTACATTCCAAACTTAAGCCAGGTATGGTGGCAGGCAGATCCTGGACATGATCCAAGACATCAGATAGCAAACAGCTGGACAGCTTACAAAGTTTCAAATTTTTCTTTGATCCACTAGATGAGTTCCAGGGCAGTACACTAACAAAGGTGAGGAAAGGGATTCTTCAGTGAGAAAAGAGTCTTGTCATCTAATACAAAAAGTGTCTGCAACTAATACAAATTTTAAGGAAGGCTTTTATTAATTAGGGCCAAGAACAGGCTTTATAAACATACAGAGCACCCAAAAGCTGGTAACATACTCTTCTTCTTAACATACCTGAAAACATTAAGACTAGGAGATGAAAGCAGCAGCAGTTATTGGAGCAAAGGCAGGAACCCTGTGAGGATCTTTCTCTGTTTCATTCAGAACAAAGGCCGCACGATGTGAGAAGTGAAACAAGCCTGTAAATCTGATGCAAATCCAGTGTGGCTGAAAAAAAGAACAAAAACAAACAAAACAAAACCCAGCTTCCTACTCCTACTTAGAAAGGGACACAGGAGCAAAGCCCAAGTCTACAGTTAGGGCAAGTCAAGATGATCCCACACCAAAGATCTTACCTACATGTCCCAACTTGAATTCATGCCTTAAATGAGTATCTCCTCTCATTTTGCCAGCATGGCTAGAGATTACAGACAAGCTACTTGTACTCACTGCCCCTCTAGTGTAGTGTCTCCAAGGCTTTCTAATTCTTGATTTTATCTCAAGTCTAAAACAAACTGTCTAAATACCACCTCTACCACTTACTAGCTATCTGATCTCAGAAAAATCATTTAATTCTTCTGAAATGCAATATTTTCAAATACATAGGTAAGGCATAAAGCATCCATGTCATAAATTTTTGTAATAGTTAAACACAGAACATCTAAAAAGCCACCTTCCATAAAGAAAACACTCATTGAATGCTTTTCTGTTGATATTAGCATTATATTTCTATCTTTTCTTATCAGCCTACCCCCATCTACCACAAATGCCAGTCAGTTATCAACTCTTACTTATGTTACTGCCACTATCCAATTGGTTTTCTTCCACTACATATACGATACCATATCTATATCATATCTACATATATTCTTTGTTCAGGAAGCAGAATGGTTTAAACTCAAAGTCATGTCTTTCTCCTGCTCATATCTGTCACAAGACTTTCACATTGTTACTGTAACACCCAAATTCCTCAGCATACATATAAATGCTCTCTCACTCCAAAGAAAGGTAGGTAAAATAGTTACCCTGAAACTCCCACTTCATCTCCCAGAATCTAACATATGCGAAACAAAAATTCACTTATGTTCACATATCAGAATGCTACTGTTTATTATTAATTAAAATTAGAGATCACATTGAGTATGGTGGCTAGTTTTTGTACCTCAGAAACTTATTTCGGTACATCACAAAACAATAAATGCTAGCTAGGTGAAGCTGGAAAAACATGAATAACACTGAAACATTCAGTCTCAGTTTGTAATGGGGAAAAAAATCCTATTCTAAGAGATCTCACAAAGATACTTAGCATAAAATATGTGCACAGTTTTTAGGAGGAAAATGCATCTCAGTTAACAAAATAACCTGGATACTATAATCACATATTGGCTGCAGAGATCTGAAATCTAATATCTGTAATTTATTCAGTGGCTGAAATTCTGGTAGCAATTTTACTTCCTTAATTAATTCAAGAGGCATAAAAATTCTGCTTCATAATTATGTCCAAAGAAAATTCCAATAGAAATAGAAAATTCAAGCTGATATGTTGGAGTGAAGGTTTTAGAACATATGATTTTATAGCTTTACTGCACTTACAAACCCATAGTACACGTCTAACGAGCTGAAACGTTTCTTCACTTAAGATTTGTATCAAGTATTTCTAAAAGCTCGTTTTAAGATCTGTAGCGGGGCAGAGTAGCTCATTCCTTTAATCCTAGCACTCTGGAGCCAAAGCCGGTGGATCTCTGCTAATTGTGTACCAGGTTTAAGCTTTTTTTCTGAAACTTGTCAGGCCAACTAACATTGCTACGTTAATACGTGGGGACCCCGGTTCCCAAACCACTGATCTTCACCTGAGGAAGTAGGATGGCTGGACACTGCCGCCAACACATAGTGCACTTTCTCCACAACTACCCCAAATGTGGTTGTAAACAACCGTTCATGATCCAGGGCCTGACCACTGGCGACCACACCAAAAATTCCAAAACCCCTGTGTTCACTCACCCACAAAAAACTGAAAATCCTGGCAACTATTTCAGCCTGCTCAAACGCGACTTCCGGAGTCCGTCAACACAGGCATGCGCACTCCAATCACACTGCCAGCTTGTTGCCGGTGCTTCCCTTATCTAAAGCGTCAGGCAGGCGGGGCTTAGGCCAGCCTCCTACTAGTTCGTCACAGCAACGTAGGAAGCCCTCGGCTCCTCTTTCCACGCCCCTTGTGGATTTTTCTGGGGGACTAGGCGGAAACTGTTTAAAGGACAGTGAACTGGCTTGAAAGAGTCCTAAATCTTGTAGCCAATTGGAACCCTATTCCAAGTGAGACTCCAAATTCTGTTTAGTTGAATAAATGGCTCTGAGGCAAACCCTTTGTTCACCTTCTAAGTTAAGCATCCAAATGCACTTTTTACAGGATGTAAATAGATGAAGATAATCGCAGTTTAGGGCTATTGTGCTATTTTCAGGCAAGTTGAAAAATGTCAAGAACCCTTTGCTAGCCTGAGGAATTTTCTTCTTTTACTACATTTTTGAATGATTAAGAATTGTCAATGAGCTTAGAAAGTTTGTAATGATTAATTTCAGAATATAGAAATCTCCCCCAGAAGATTTCACCTCAATAATGCTAGTCTCTGTTAATCACAATTTCTTAGCTTCAGCTAACCAGCATCAATTATCCCCTTAGTCTCCTTCTCCTCTGACTCTAAAGCCAGAGCTATGTGGCCAAAGCTGCCAATTTCTGCTGCTTCCTGGGGATGGAACATGGCTCCTGTTCTATTACATTACCACTAGCTTTCTGTTTCCCAACTCCTTGACTGTCCTGGATCTTGCTCTGTAGATTGGCCTTGAACTCATTGATCTGTATGCCTGTCTCCGGGATTAAAAGTGTGTACCACCATGACTGAATTTAAGCTTTTCTTCACCTAAAACATGCTCGGTCCCAGGCTGGCCTTAAACTCAGAGATCTGCTTGGCTTTGACTCCTAGGATTAAAGGTGTATACCACCACCATGCTTGGATCTAAACTCAGCTGGGCATCTTGCCCCAAAGTCCCACTCTCTTAATTTGTTATTTCCTTGAACACAGGATTCACTTCCTGATACTCTTTTAATACTCAAACCATATATTTTATATTTTTTCTTTCTAAGGTTGCTATGCTTCTTTAAAATGTTCTTCATGACACTTAACCAGAGATCAAAGTCTATGATAGGCATTTCTGAGACTTCTTTTGTCAATTAATCTGAGTCTCTTTACCTTAGCTTCAGGCAGACTCCTCAGACAAGGGCAAAAAGTAGTGACATTCTTCACCAAAATACCACAGAAACAGTCTCCAGTCCACATATTGGAATTCTCCACTGAAACCTCTTGGGCTGGGTCTGCAGAATTCAATTCACTCTTAGTAACAAAATCTTCCACTACTTTCCAAATTCAAAGTACCAAAATTCACATTTTTCCATACAAAAGCATGATGAAGTCTATCACAGTAATATCCCAGTCCCTGGTACCAACTTCTGTCTTAGGGTTTTACTGCTGTGAACAGACACCATGACCTAGGCAACTTTTATAAGGACAACATTCATTTGTGACTGGCTTATAGGTGGGAACATGGCAGAATCCAGGTAGGCATGGTACAGGAATTCTACATCTTCTTCTGAAGGCTGCTAGCAGAATATTCATTTCCGGGCAGCTAGGACTTGAGTATTAAATCCCATGCCCACAGTGACATTCCTACTCCAACAAGGCCATACCTTCTAATAGTGCAACTCCCTGGCCCAAGCATATATAAGCTGGTCATCTGGACACTTCAAACTCTTTTACATATCTGCTGGAAAAGGAAAGGAAACATAAGATGTTTGAATTATGGAATTAAGTTGTTACATACCTTAGTGAATATATATTTAGATTTTGATGAATAATTGCCTTTCCTTGTTGGTCTAGGAACTAGTGATGGCAAGCTGCTCTGTGATAATCTTTCCCTCATGATGGAACACACCATCTTTATGGTGAATGGAGCAGAACAGACAAATTTTAACTTTCTTATCAGTGAGTTTTGTATTAATATGAAAGAAGCAAAATATATGGTTGCTAAGTGAATTATAGGTGATAGTATAAAAGAGTAGACACTAGTTAATTTTAAGGCTTAAACTTTCACTAACAGTACTGTGTTATGTACACATCAAGTTCAAACATTTAGCTGATCTCATACACTGTGAAGTTTATCTGCCTCAAGGATTGTGTCTTTTGATTGTCCCCCTTACATAGGCACAAGAAAATCAGAATTTCTCACATAAGTAATTTTTATCATGGCAATATTTCCATTAAGAAAGCATCAGTCCTCAATGCACGAAATGCCTTTCATTTTAGTTCTGTTACCTTTATAACTAACATGAATTTTTAGGAAAACATACCATGTATTATTTTACTATGGTACATTTCTTTACGGTCTGGTATGTGAACTTTCATGAATTCATATCTGAATTTGTTGTCTTTACTAGTTACTTGCATATCTGGCAACAGAAAATTCAGATGACTTGCCAATGATGTGCTGAACAACTATATATGGGACCACACAGAAATGTATATTTATTTATATGTGTCTTGTATATGTATAGTGTGTGTGAATGTGTATACATGTATGTATGTATGTATGTATGTATGTATGTATGTATGCATGTATTAGTGATTCTTTATACGTAACTGAGCATACTTATATCTCTGTATAGGTGTTTGTTGAGTTCAGAAGACACAGTATGTTGTCTATCTTAATCTTATACTCTTTCTGGCAAGGACTATTGTTGTTCTTCATGACAAGTCAGTAGCTGGAGTGCAAGGGTTGTGGTGTTTGTCTACATTGTTTAACAGGCATGATATTTTAAAGATGAACAGATCTTTACTTATAGGGGTTCTGGGGATTTATAATGTCCTAATTCTTTCATGACAAGCACTTCATTCTAAAACTATCTTCTGAAGCCATGAAACTTATTTCATTAGACAAAATCTCTAAATGTTTGTTCTTTGTCAGCATGCAAAGTGGTTCCTGATATGACAAGGATATGGATAACTCATACTTTCAGTTGAAGTTGTCTATTGGTTCAACATTAAACAATTCCAAATAGAATTTTTTTTTGTAGACTGATACAGACATTTGCTTTTCTAAAAGGTTATCTGGAAAGCACACTATACATAACCATTATAATGTCAACCAAACAGAAATAGAGTGATTTTTATTTCCGTGATCCATAGCTCTGATGATGCTACTTAAATGATGAAATAAAGAAATGAGGGGATGTTATGTTTTCATTTACTTTCCAGGTTCCTCTAAATGTAGTTGTTAGCAGATAATCAACCTGCACAACTTCTTCCAAATGCAAACACATGATCATTTATTTGAGATCTAGCCACATGTAACTTCCCAAGATGTCTTTCTTACCAATTTTCTTCATTCTATTTAATTTAATTTTTAACTTTTTTATGGATTCTATGTAAATTTTATATTATGCACCCCAATCTCAAATATCTCCTCGTGACTTTCTATCTGCCCTCTGCCCTTACAACCTATATCCCAAAGAAAATTAAAAATGAAACTAAAAATAATTTTTCTATATTAATGACTCATCCTTAATATTGATTTCAGCACTGTGTATGCTATCTATAATTTAAATTTTTGTTTCTATATGTATTATATCTGCATATCTGCATATGTATGTAGATGTCTACAGAGTATAGAGAAGCATATCAGTTCTCCTAGAAATGAGGTTACAGGAAATTTTAAGCCAACTACTAGTGATATGAACTGAAATTAGCTCATCTACAAATGCAGTAGATTCTCTAAACTGCTGATCCATGTTTGTAGGCCCATATTCCATTTTTGAAATTACACATTGAGGTTGCATCTCCAAGATTAGTATATAATTTTAATAGGTAATGATTTTATTTATGTTTTTAGAAAGGATATTGCTATTTTAAAGGAGACTGATCTCAAATTTACTATGTAGCTGAGGCTGACCTCAAACTTATAGCAATTCTGCTTCAGTTTCCTAAAGGTCAGATATTATTTTAATTTATTTATTTATTCACTTTACATCCTAATATCAGCCCCCACCCTCCTTCTAGAACCACCTCTCATAGATCTTACTTCCTTTCCTTCTTCTCCTTTTCCTATGGGAAGGAGGAGCACGCTTCCTGGTATCCCCTCCACCATAACCCCAAGAAATCACTGCAAGACTAGGTGTATATGCTCCCACTAAGGCCACACATGGCAGCCCGATTAGGGTAACAGGATTCATAGACAGGCAGGTAACAGATTTAGGGCTTGTCCCTGTTGCAGTTGTTGGGGGACCTACATGAAGATCAAGCTGCACATCTGTATTTGTAGGGGGCATAGCTCCCAGTCTATGCTTGTTCTTTGGACCCACAAGGGTTCAGATTAGTTGACTCTGTTGTTCTTCCTGTCAAGTTCCTGTCCTTTGGGTCACTCAATTTCTCCTCCAACTCTTCCATGAAACTTGCTGAGCTCCACATAATGTTCAACTGTGGGTCTGTGCATCACTTTACATTAGCTGATGGGTGAAGACTCTCAGAGGACACATATGCTAGGCTCATGTCTGCAAACATAACAGAGTATCATTAATAGTGTCAGGGACTGATTCTTGCCAATGGGATGTATCTCAATTTGAGCCAGTCATCATTTACACAATGGAATGATACACAGCTATTAAAAACAAGAACATCGTGAATTTTGTAGGCAAATGGATAGAACTAGAAAATATTCTGAGTGAAGTAACCCAGACCCAAAAGGGCATACATGGCATGTAGTCATTTATAAGTGGATATTAGACATAAAGTACAGGATAATCATGTTATACTTCACAGGCCCAAAGAAGCCACGAGACAAGGAGGTCCCACTGGAGGATGGTTGCATTTTGTAGGACTGTGAATGGCAGCATGGTTCCTGAGCTAAGGTTAGAAACTCAGGTGACCCTAAAGGGATGGCAAGTGTTTCGCCTGATTCCCAGACACCAGACTATTGGAACAAAGCTGCAGTCCTTCATAGATTTGTGACCATTAAGGGCATGTAAGGACAATGACCCAAG